GGTCAGGAGGACTGGGGGACTCTAAGGAGGATCGGGGGGACTGTGGGACTCTAGGGAGGGTCGGGGGGACTGTGAGGTTCTAAGGAGGGTCTGGGGAACTCTAGGAAGGGTTGGGGGGACTGTGGGGCTCTAGGAGGTCAAGGGGATGGGCTCTAAGGAGGGTCGGGGGTACGGTGGGGCTCTAAAGAGGGTCTGGGGGAACTCTACAGAGAGTCGAGGGGAGTGTCGAACTATACGGAGGGTCGGGGGGACTGTGGGGCCCTAAGGACGGTTGGGGGCCTTTGGGGCTCTAGGGACGGTCAGGGGGGACTCTGGGGCTCTAAGGGGGGTCTGGGGGACTGTGGGGCTCTACGGAGGGTCGGGGGAAGTGTGGGAATCTACGGAGGGTGGGGGGCACTGTGGGGTTCTAAGGAGGGTCTGGGGGACTCCTGGGAGGGTCGGGGTGACTGTGGGGCTCTAAAGAAGGTCAGGAGGACTGGGGGATTCTAAGGAGGATCGGGGGGACTGTGGGGCTCTAAGGAGGTTCGGGGGACTCTAGGGAGGGTCTGGGGGACTGTGGGACTCTAGGGAGGGTCGGGGAGACTGTGGGACTCTACGAAGGGTCTGGGGGACTGTGAGGTTCTAAGGAGGGTCTGGGGAACTCTAGTAAGGGTTGGGGGGACTGTGGGGCTCTAGGAGGTCAGGGGGAATGTTGGGCTCTAAGGAGGGTCGGGGGGACTCTACGGAGGGTCAGGGGGACTGGGGGGCTCTATGGAGGGTTGGGGGTACGGTGGGGCTCTAAAGAGGGTCTGGGGGAACTCTACAGAGAGTCGAGGGGAGTGTCGAACTATACGGAGGGTCGGGGGGACTGTGGGGCGCTACAGAGGGTCGGGGGGACTGTGGGGCTCAAAGGAGGGTCGAGGGGACTGTGGGGCTCTAAGGAGGTTCGGGAGGACTCTAGGGAGGGTCTGGGGGACTGGGGGGGGTCTAAGGAGGTTTGAGGGGACTGTGGAGCTCTAAGGAGTGTCGGAGGGACTGTGGAGCTCTGTGAAGGGCACCGCCCCATGCCACCTCGACCTGCCTGTGGCACCTGGCTTTCTGGAGATGGGTCATACTGTCGCAGTTGTCCCAGGAACTCCAGGTGGTTCTTCTCCTCCTCCAGCTGGGCCACAGCCTCCTCGCTGGCCCGAAGCCGCCGCTGTGTCTCCTCCAGTTCCTCCCGAAGCCACACGTTCTCCTGGGCCAGCCGCCGGGCCTGCGCCCGCAGCCGCTGCTTCTCTGCCTCCAGTGTGCCCATATGTGCCGACAGGGCCAGCAGCACCTGCCCGGGGGTGGGGGGGGCGTCCCAAGTCGAGGCTGGTTCCTACCCTGCCAGGCAGCCCGTGACCCAGCCCAGGCCTCAAATCAGGCTGCAGCCCCCCACTGCTATGCTCAATACCCCAAGTTCTGCAGAGACTCCGCCAACACGGCTCCAGTGTCCTCAGAGTTTCCCAGGGGCCCCTCTGATTTCACCCCCAGACTCACCCCAGGACTCAGCCTACTGAAGAATGCCATCTGGTTCAGGGGTCCCTGTCACACACAAGGACCCCATAAAGCTGCCAAGGGACTAGGTCTCTGGCCTGGAGCCTCCCCGGCCTGATTTCCCCAGGCCTCGCCCTGCAGCAGTGTGCCTCTCTCTGTCATACTTTTTTCTTTTTGAGATGGGAATCTCGCTGTCGCCCAGGCTGGAGAGCAGTGGCATGATCTTGGCTCACTGCAGCCTCCGCCTCCCAGGTTCAAGCGATTCTCCTGCCTCAGCCTCCCGAGTAGCTGGGACTACAGGCGTGCACCACTGTGCCTGGCTAATTTTTCTGTTTTTAGTAGAGACGGGGTTTCACCATGTTGACCAGGATGGTCTCGATCTCTTGACCTCGTGATCCACCCACTTTGGCCTCCCAAAGTGCTGGGATTACAGGCATGAGCCACCGCGCCCAGCTCTACCATACTTTTTTTTGAGACAGTCTCGCTCTGTCACCCAGGCTGGAGTGCAGTGGCACGATCTCGGTTCACTGCAACCTCCATCTGCCAGGTTCAAGCGATTCTCCTGCCTCAGTCTCCTGCGTAGCTAGGACTACAGCCATGTACCACCCTGCCCAGCTAATCTGTTTTTGTTTTTACTTTCTTGAGATGGAGTTTCGTTCTTGCTGCCCAGGCTGCAGTGCAATGGCTCGATCTCCTCTCACTGCAACCTCTGTCTCCCAGCTTCAAGCTATTTTCCTGCCTTGGCCTCCTGAGTAGCTGGGACTACAGGCCCCCCGCCACAACACTTGGCTGATTTTTGAATATTTAGTAAAGACGGGGTTTCACTAGGTTGGCCAGGCTGGTCTCTAACTCCTGACCTCGTGATCTGTCCACCTCAGCCTCCCCAAGTGCTGGGATTACAGGCATGTAATCCTTTAGTTTTCGTATTTTTAGTAGAGATGGGTTTTCACTATGATACCAGGCTGGTCTCGAACTCCTGACCTCGTGATCCGCCTGCCTCAGGCTTCCAAAGTGTGCTCCTCTGCAATAGTGAACCCCTCTCCCAGCCAGCTTCATACCTGGCCCTCCCCCGCCCTCAGCTGACCATCCCCCAGCCTCCCACCTATCCCCCCTCATACCTGGCCCTCCCCTGCCCTTAGCTGACCATCCCCCCAGCCCCCCACCTAGCCCCCCTCATACCTGGGCCTCCCCCGCCCTCAGCTGACCACCCCCCAGCCCCCCACCTAGCCCCCCTCATACCTGGGCCTCACCCAGCCCCAGCTCGATGGCCTCCAGCGAGTGGCTCACCACCTGCTGCTTTTCCTCCAGCATCTCCCAGCCAGCCACCGGGCCTTGTCCCGCCAGGGCCTCCGCCAGGTGCCCTGCCAGGCCACGGTGCTCCGCCCGCAGCGCCTCCAGACCCTGTACCACTTGACGTGTCTGCCGCACCAGCTCCTCAGGGCTCAGGCGCTCTGGGCCCAGCCCCGTGCTTCCAGGGGCTGCCACCTGCACAGACATTGCTGCTCCTGGGGGGTAACGGTGGGGGGTCGGGGAATTATTGCCAGGGCCAAGCAAGCTGGCCCCAGCCTCTACTCCCATAATGGCCATCAGGGCCCCTAACTTCTCCCCATCCCGTCTCTTCCCCACTCCACCCATCCTGGCCAGCCCTCTGCCTCCATACCCTCTGTATCCCAGTTTCCACACTCATCCCAGCCAGCTCTCATCTAGAACATTCTAACCTACCTTCCTCTGTCCTCCCAACCCAGGGTTCTGCCCTAAGGACAGTTCCCAAATCCTATGTGTAATTAACCAAGAGAGCGCAAACAGCGGGCCTGGGGGTCCCCTATCTTCCCTCAGCTCACCTGCCCAGCCTTCCCCACCCCAAGGCCCCTGGATCCCCGGGCCCAGAGCTCCAGGTCGGCCGTGTGACCTGGGACCAGAGGCACCCTCCTCTGCCAGGCGAGTGGGGCGGGACATGTGGAGGCGGCGGCCTCTGCGTGAGCTCATTCTTAGGGTGTTTTTGTTGGGAACCAGTCAGACCACTGGGGGTGGGGTGTGGTGGGAGGAGAGGGCCGAGGGGCCGGGGCCCCTAGAAGCCCAGGAGGCCTCTAGGTTGAGGGGGAAGCGGAGGGGGTCATGTGTCGGCTCCCAGGCAACAGAGGGACCCTGGGGGAACAGGGACTCCACCTTCCTCCATCACAGACAGGCTCAGCCAGCCCAGGGCCTGTTGGGACACACGTGTGATAGGTGTGGTCCAGGGATGTCACACTGGCCATGGGACAGCTGAGGGTCTGAAGCCCAGCTCATAGTGGGCGGGGCCCCCCTCTATGGGACTTCATGTGGTTCTATGTGGGTCACAAAAGCTTAGCTGGTGATGCCTCTGGGGTCCTCCTAGACACACACACTCCTCAGAAACATACCTCACACACCTCACCTTCCCTTCTTAAAGGCACGATGCAACACACATATTCTCACACGAACAAATGCCCCCTTCTCTCAAATACAAGACGGGGACCGGCATGGTGGTTCACTCCTGTTATCCCAGCACTTTGGGAAGCTGAGGCAGGCAGATCACTTGAGGCCAGGAATTCGAGACTAGCCTGGCCAACCTGGTGAAACCCCACCTCTACTAAAAATACAAAACAAAATTAGCTGGGTGTGGCGGCGGGCACCTGTAGTCCCAGCTACTAGGGAGGCTGAGGCGGGAGAATCGCTTGAACCCGGGAGGTGGAGGTTGCAGTGAGCCCAGATTGTGCCACTGCAATCCAGCCTAGGTGACAGAGTGAGACTCTGTCTCAAAACAAAAAACATGGTATACACATGTACTCTCCCAAAAATACAGTTACACACACACATACTCCCTCATTAGAAATACAATGGAGGAGGCCGGGCGCGGTGGCTCAAGCCTGTAATCCCAGCACTTTGGGAGGCCGAGGCGGGTGGATCACGAGGTCAAGAGATCGAGACTATCCTGGTCAACATGGTGAAACCCCGTCTCTACTAAAAATACAAAAAATTAGCTGGGCATGGTGGCACGTGCCTGTAATCCCAGCTACTCAGGAGGCTGAGGCAGGAGAATTGCCTGAACCCAGGAGACGGAGGTTGCGGTGAGCCGAGATCGCGCCATTGCACTCCAGCCTGGGTAACAAGAGTGAAACTCCGTCTCAAAAAAAAGAAAAAAGAAATACAATGGAGGCCAGGTGTGTGGCTCACACCTGTATTCCCAGCACTTTGGAATTCTGGCTGAGGCAGGAGGACCACTTGAGCCCAGGAGTTTGAGACCAGCCTGGGACACAGTGAGACCCCATCTCTACAAAAAAATCAAAAACTTAGCCTGGCGTGGTGGTGGCATACCTGAAGCTGAGGTGGAAGGATCGCTTGAACCCACGCGGTTGCAGCTGCAGTGAGCCATGACAGTAACACTGCGCTCAGCGTGGGCGACAGAACAAGACTCGGTTTCAATCAAACAAAAAAAAAGAAATACAACATATACATTCTCTTCTTACAAATACAACACGCACGCTCTCCTCTTAAAAGTACAATTCTACACACACCTACATTTCTCTTTTAGAAATACAACCTAACACAATACACTCAGGCACACACACACTATTCTTTCAAAAACAACCTGTACACACTTCCCTTTTAGAAATAAAAGCCGGCCGGGCACGGTGGCTCATGCCTGTAATCCCAGCACTTTGGGAGGCCGAGGCGGGTGGATCACGAGGTCAAGGGATCGAGACCATCCTGGTCAACATGGTGAAACCCCGTCTCTACTAAAAATACAAAAAATTAGCTGGGCATGGTGGCACGTGCCTGTAATCCCAGCTACTCAGGAGGCTGAGGCAGGAGAATTGCCTGAACCTAGGAGGCGGAGGTTGCGGTGAGCCGAGATCGCACCATTGCACTCCAGCCTGGGTAACAAGAGTGAAACTCCGTCTCAAAAAAAAAAAAAAAAAAAAAAAAAAGAAATAGAAGCCAAGGCTGGGCATGGTGGCTCACGCCTGTAATCCCAGCATTTTGGGAGGCTGAGGCGGGTGGATCACCTGAGATCAGGAGTTTGCAACCAGCCTGGCCAACATAGTGAAACCCCCTCTCTACTAAAAATACAAAAATTAAGCTCGATGTGGGGGTGGGTGCCTGTAATACCAGCTACTTGGGAGGCTGAAGCAGGAGAATCACTTGAGCCTGGGAGGCCCAGGCTGCGGTGAGCCGAGAGGGTGCCACTGCACTCCAGCATGATGACAGAGTGAGATGCCTTCTCAAAAAAAGAAGAAAGAAAGAAAGAAAAAGATGCTAGTCTAAGCAGAGAAAAATTTTTAAAAAGCCAACCCACGCAGAAACGAACTGTCTCTGCCGCTCCGGAAATCACTCAGACCATCTCCGTACACCTGACCCTGACACTGTCTCCCAAACTCACACAGCCCCCAAGCAGCCAATTCCCCATAAAGTGCCTAACACACCTCCAGATTCACATACTCCCAGGATCACTTCAGAGCCCCCGTCAGCTTCCCCACTTCCTCCTCCTCCCCGTCCAGGCCTGGCCAGCAGGGACTCCCACACCTACACACCATGCACGCACGAGTACTGCGATCCACCGTTGGAACAGAAGGCTGTGGATGCGCGCGGAGGGATGCCATGTTCACGCACACTTCGCTCAAAGCACTGCGTCCACCATGAGCAGTGCAGCAGTTTCTACACGTTACACATGCGCGATCACATACATTAAGGGGCCTGCACACTTTGTGCACCACAGGCTTGTCACTGATCTCTCTCTCTAGATGTATGTATATATGTGTTGATGTGCATGTGAACATTAAAAAAATTTTTTTTTTTTTTTTTTTGGAACAGTCTCACTCTGTCACCCAGGCTGGAGTGCAATGGCAGGATCTCGGCTCACTGCAACCTCACTGCAACTAGGTTCAAGTGATTCTCCTGTCTCAGACTCCCAAGTAGCTGGGACTACAGGTGCATGCCACCACACCCAGCTAATTTTTTGTATTTTTAGTTGAGATGGGGTTTCAACCTGTTGGCAAGGATGGTCTTGATCTCCTCACTTCGTGATCCACCTGCCTTGGCCTCGCAAAGTGCTGGATTTACAGGTGTGAGCCACCACACCTGGCCTTTTTTTAAAAATTTGATTTTATGTCTTTGAGATCAGGTCTCACTGTTGCCCAGGCTGGAGTGCACTGGGTGCAATCTCGGCTCACCACACCCTCTGCCTCCCAGATTCAAATGATTCTCCTGCGTCAGCCTCCAAGTACCTGGGATCACAGGCACCTACCACCATGCCCGGCTAATTTTTGTATTTTTAGTAGAGACAGTGTTTCACCACGTTGTCCATGCTGGTCTCAAACTCCTGTCCTCAAATGATCCACCTGCCTTGACTTCCCAGAGTGCTATGATTCCAGGCGTGAACCACCACTCCCAGCCAAGCTTTTTTTAATTTTTAAAAAACTAGGGCCGGGCGTGGTGGCTCACGCCTGTAATTCCAGCACTTTGGGAGGCCAAAGCGGGTGGATCACTTGAGGTCAGGAGTTCGAGACCATCCTGACCAACATAGTGAAACCCTCTCTAAAAAAATAAATAAATAAAAATAAAAATAACTAAATTATGCCCAGCTAATTTTTGCTTTTTGTAGAGATGAGGTCTCACCATATCACACAGGCTAGTCTAGGACTCCTGGGTTCAAGCAATCCTCCCACCTCAGCTTCCCAACGTGTTGAGATTACAAGTGTGAGCCACTGTACCCGGCCAATCTCTGTGTGTGTGTGTGTATATCACACCATACCTATTCTCACACCTCACACACACATCATCAGTGGTTGAACTCACAACCATAGTCTCAAGAGTCACCCTTACAACCACGACCATTCACACAATTTTGCCAACATAACAACCTCCCTCCATAACCTCAGACACAGCCACACACACCACTCCATGGCCAGACCAACAACCACAGCAACAAACACGCTCAACCACAGCCACCCAGCACTCAGGCTGCGTCCCACACACAGCAGTTCCCACACTTACACGGAGCCTGGGGCGCACAACCGCACAGCTGATCATTGCAGGCACAGCCCCACACACCCATCCCTGACAAAGACCACCCTTTCCCTCCTGTCACCCACGCGCAGTAGAATCCCACTTAGATGTCCACATCTCCACTCCCATCTCCCAAACTTACACACCCCACAACAAACTCTCCATTGCACACCACTGCCAGCCACGGCATCAATGCAGGTCACACACCCTCCAGATCCTCCTACACACACGTGGGCAGGCGTGCACACGTACACACACACACACACGGCTTCACATGCCTCCACACTTCACTCATCCAACCCCGAGGTTCCACCTGTACAGTCCCATGAAACAGCCCCACTTCCGGACACAGTCCCACTCAGCAACACGCACCATTACGGTGCCACACAACCAAAAGTCAATCTAGTAACCTATCACTGACCCAGTGTCACACTGTCCATTACACACACACACACAAACATCCAACAGGCAGAAAGACAACCACAGCCACACAACCTCTTGATCAACATTCACAGCTAATCCTACAACCAGTTCCACTCCCTGCCATACACACGCACATCAGCCCAAGCAGAAAGTTGACTACAGCCGCACTAGCTCTTGGTCATAAAGTGCTACCAACAATCCAATTAATATACACACACACACACACACACACACACACACACACCCCGCACTCCAGACACAGTCAGAGGTTGCCCACGTTTTCACATTGCCGAAAGTGTCATACACACAGTCCCATCACAGGGTTACACGGTGGACAGTCGCTTTCACCTCCATACCCACAACCTGACAAACACAGAGCCTCACACACACAGGCAGTCAGGAGCCCCATCGTGGCCCAGCCTCGCAAACCTCACAACCTTACCCAGGCCGGCCCAGCCCCGCGCACCAGGCTCTCCCGCCGTCACAAGGGACCCCTCCTTCCCTCCCCATAGGCCCCGCCCCATCCTCGCTCCTGTTTACCTGCTCTGGGGTTGGGGGTGCGCGGCCCCAGCCAGACCTCCAGACCCCGGGGAGCCCCAGGACGGGGCAGAAGGGTGTCCGGGAGCCCCAAGGCCGTTTCCCGTCGCAGGGCAAGCAGGCCCAGGGTTGCTCCAGGCCCCGGTCCTCACCCTTCACCCCCGCCCCCCATCATTGCAGCTCCCCAAGAGTCCCGCGCCCCGCTCCCGGTGCCCACCTGACCACGGCGACTCCGGCCCCGTTTCGCCCCCTCTGCGCTCGGCGGCGTCCTGCAGGCCAGGCACGCCCAGCCGCTCCCGCTGCGCCCGGCGTCTGGGACCACGGGCGGCTCCTCCGCGGGGCGGGGCGGGGTGGGGCGGGGCGGAGGGGAGCCCTCCCCCCACAGGTGAGCCGGCCACGCCCACCGCCCGCGGGAAGTTCAGCCTCGTGCCTGCCGCCCGCGGGAATGGCAGAACTTTGCACGTGGAGCTGGTAACCTCCAGGGAACCTCGAATCAGGCTGATTGCAGCGCAGGGCCCTTGGCTAAAATCTTGGAAACTTTAGATCTCAGGACAGTGGCTTTCTGGCAGTGCCGGCCGCAGAGCCTTTTCATTGGTTGTGTCGCCTGCTTCGATCTCTCTTCCCACACATCTCATCGTCTTTAGGTCTCGTCTCAAAGGCCACCTCCTCCGGTAGGCCGTCCCTGATTGCCCCCTTCTAAATAGCACCCTTCCACCAAAACATTACATGCCCCTCTTGATTTTGTTCACAAATCTTTTCAGGGCCTAAAATTATTCTATTATCTTCCTCTAGTGTGAGGGAGTCTCGCTCTGTCACCCAGGCTGGAGTGCAGATCTCGGCTCATTGCAGCCTCAGCCTCCGGAGTTCAAGCGATTCTCGCATCTTCAGCCTCCCAAGTAGCTGGGAGTACAGGTGCTCACCATCAGCCAGGCTACTTTTTGTACTTTTAGTAGAGACAGGGTTTTGCCATGTCGGCCAGGCTGCTCTCGAACCCCTGACCGCAACTGATCCTCCCACCTCAGCCTCCCAAAGTACTGGGATTACAGGAGTGAACCACCATCCCGGCCCCTAAAATTATTTTATGTAACATTTATCATATTTTTTAAATTTTTATTTTCATATCATTATGTTATGTAATATACATTATATTATTGGTAAGGGAATGTGATATATAAGAATCGGGCTCTGGGTTCAAGTCTGATTCCAGCACTTACTTGCTGTGTAGGCCTTGGGCAAGTGACTTAACCTCTCTGTGCCTCAGTTTCCCTAGTCAGTAAAATGGAAATAGTCGAAGGCTTTGAGAATTGAATGTTAACAACAAAGAAACAGTACTTTTCCTTTTTTTTTTTTTTTTGCGACGCAGTCTCACTCTGTCACCCAGGCTGGAGTGCAATGGCACTATCTCAGCTCACTGCAACCTCTGCCTCCCAGAGGTTCTTCCTGCCTCAAGCCTCCTGAGTAGCTGGGATTACAGGTGGCTCCCACCAAGCCTAGCTTTTTTTTATTTTTTTATTTTTTTTTATTTTTGTATTTTTAGTAGAGATGGGGGTTTCACCATGTTGGCCAGGCTGGTCCCGAATTCCTGGCCTCAGGTGATCCACCCGCCTCGGCCTCCCAAAGTGCTGGGATTACAGGCATGAACCACTGCGCCCACGGGGACAGAACTATTTTTCAGAGCCTGGCATGTAGAAAGTACTTGGTAATACTCGCTACTGACTGTATATTATGGATTCCTTTTTTAAAAATGGGTTTCCTTTTTAGAATGTCAGCTCTGAGGGCAGGGCTCTACATTGTCAGCACTTTATCTTTAGTAAGAGAACCTGGCACAAAGTAGGTGCTCAATAAATTGTGACTGAATGAAGGAATCAAGTCCTAGAATTGTAAACTGGCCAACGCTGGGTGGTCGCCATTCTAATATAACTTGAGGATGAGCGCTGTGGCTCACACCTGTAATCCCAGCACTTTGGGAGGCTGAGGCGGGTGGATCCCTTGAGGTCAGGAGTTCAAGACCAGCCTGACCAACATGGCGAAACCCCATGTCTACTAAAAATACAAAATTAGCCGGGCATGGTAGTGCATACCTGTAATCCCAGCTACTTGGGAGGCTGAGGCAGGCGAATCACTTGAACCGGGAGGCAGAGGTTGCAGGGAGCTGAGATCACGCCACTGCACTCCAGCCAGGGCAACAAGAGCCAAACTCCGATTCAAAATAAATAAATAAACAAACAAACAAACAAACAAACTTGGTTAAAGGCACGCTGTACCCTGGTCACTGCACTATGGGATGCTTCCAGCAGAGGGTGCTGCTGGTCTGTGGCTCCAGCACGGCTCCGCGCCGCCCGCCCCCCACCCCGCTTTGAATTGAATTGCAGCCAACATGCCCTCTCCTTCCTTGTTCTCTGAGCTCCAGTGCTCATGCTTTCTCCCCCAGGATGCCCTTTTTACCTCCCAGGTTTGCAGACTTGGGCTCCCACGTTCAGCCCTGCCAACTCTAGGGCATCAGTGTTGGGGGACGGGTCTGTCCCCGTATTAGGCTATGACCCCCAAAAAGGGAGGACGGCGCCGGGGGCCATGCCAGTTTCCACTGCATCCGCAGTGCCACCCAGCACGGGCCCAGGACAGAGAAGGCATTTGGGAGAACGGGTGCTGATTGAATCATGGAAATAAACATTCAAACTCATATCCTAACTGCTCCAGCCTTTTTGTCTTGTTTTTGTGTGGCTCGTTGCAACCTTCACCTCCCAGGTTCAACCAGTTCTCCCACCTCAGCCTCCCAAGTAGCTGAGATTACAGGCACCTGCCATCATGCCTGGCTAATTTTTCTAGAGATGGAGTTTCGCCATGTTGGCCAGGCTGGTCTCGAACTCTGGACCTCAGGTCATTCACCGGCCTGCCTCCCAGAGGGCTGGATTACAGGCTGAGCCACCATACCTGGCCTACTCCAGTTTTTTGTGGGGGGGAGGGTGGGGGGATAGGAGGGAGAAGAGGAAGGAGGGGGAGGAAGGGAGGGGAGACTTTTTTAGTTACCTTTTTTTTTTTTTTTGAGAGAGAGATGGGGTTTCACCATATTGGCCAAGCTGGTCTCAAACTTCTGACTTTGTGATCCGCCCACCTTGGCCTCCCACAGTGCTGGGATCATAGGCGTGAGCCACCGTGCGCACACTACTCCAGCTTCCTCTAAAGACGGGCATCACCCAGGCTTGAGTACAATGGCAAAATCATAGCTCACTGCAGCCTCGACTTCCCAGGTTCAAGCAATGCTCCCTCCTCATCTCACAAGTCCCAGGTAGCTGGGACTATAAACGCACCTCCACACCCAGCTACTTTTTGTTATTTTTTTACAAAGATGGGGGTCTCCCTATGTTGGCCAGTCCTCAAGCCATCCTCCTGCCTCAGCCTCCCAAAGTACTGGGATTACAGGCATGAGCCACTGCGCCCAGTTCCAGGTTTTTAAGACAGCATCTCGCTCTGTCACCCAGGCTGGAGTGCAATGGCACAATCACTGCAACCTTTGTCTCCCAGGTTCAAGCAATTCTCCTGCCTCAGCCTCCGGAGGAGCTAACAGTCATGTGCCACCATGCCCAGCTCATGTTTGTATTTTTAGTAGAGACAGGGTTTCACTGAGTTGGCCAAGGTGGTCTTGAACTCCTGACTTCAGGTGATCCACCCACCTGGCCTCCTGAAGTACTAGCTCCAGCTATTTCTTCCTTTTTTTTCTTCCCCCCAACATGATGGAGTTTTACTCTTGTTGCCCAGGCTGGAGTGCAATGACACCATCCTGGCTCACCGCAACCTCCGCCTCCTGGGTTCAAAGTGATTCTCCTGCCTCAGCCTCCTGAGTAGCTGGGATTACAGGCATGCGCCACCACACCTGGCTAATTTTGTATTTTTAGTAGATAGGGTTTCTCCATTTTGGTCAGGCTGGTCTCAACCTCGAAACCTCAGGTGATCCGCCCACCTCAGCCTCCCCAAGTCCTGAGATTACAGGCGTGAGCCACTGCTCCTGGCCTAGCTGCAGCTATTTCTACAGCAGATAGAGGACTGAGGGGCAGCAGAGCCCTTTCCCCTGTTCCCCATTTTTTTGGCCTCAGGACACAAGACATTGATTCTGGATTCGCCACGTGCTTACCTAGAGGCAGTGCAGAGACTGGAGCCAGACACCCAGGTATAAATCTCAGCTGGGTCATCTGCTAGCTGTGTGACCCTCTGAGCCAAGAAGTAATCTCTCCGGACCTGATTTCCAGTCTGTAGAACAGGACTCACAGGGTACCCTACTTTGAGCCTGTGGTAAGGATTAATATATAATCCCCCGCCGGGTGGGCACGGTGGCTCACGCCTGTAATCCCAGCGCTTTGGGAGGCCGAGGCGGGCAGATCATGAGGTCAGGACTTTGAGACCAGCCTGGCCAACATGGTGAAACTCTGTCTCTACTAAAAATACAAAAATTAGCTGGGCATGGTGGTGGGCTCCTGTAGTCCCAGCTACTCGGGAGGCTGAGGCAGGAGAATCGCTTGAACCCGGGAGGTGGAGTTTGCAGTGAGCCGAGATCATGCCACTGCACTCCAGCCTGGCGACAGATCAAGACTCTGTCTTTAAAAAAAAAAAGTATAATCCCCCAGAAAAGGCTTATAATAGGTTAGCACATGGTAAATACTGTGTGCTGGGGGGAGGGCAGGGGATGGAGACTCGGGGAGCCAGGCAGATCTAGGGTTTGGTTTTGAGACAGTCTCTCACTGTCCCCCAGGCTGGAGTGCAGTGGTGCGATCTCAGCTCACTGCAACCTCCGCATCCTGGGTTCAGGTGATTCTCCTGCCTCAGCCTCCCAAGTAGCTGGGATTACAGGTGCACTCCACCTCGCCCGGCTAATTTTTTGTATTTTTAGTAGAGATGGGGTGCCACTATGTTGGCCAGGCTGGTCTCAAACTCCTGATCTCATGATCCACCCACCTCAGCCTCCCATAGTGCTGGGATTACAGGCCGCGCCTGGCCAGATCTAGGTTTAAATCCTGGCCTTGCTATTTCAGTTCCATGTAAACTGGGACAACAGTGATCTCTGGCTGAGCCTCTGTTTCCTCATCTGGAAACAGAGATGATCACACTAATCACATAGCATTTCGGTGAGGATTAAATGAAATGAAGATTGAAAGGACAGTGTTAACCAAGGAGAACCTTTCTTTAGGCCAGCCCTGTTCCAAGTACTTTTATGCAGTGCCAACAATGGCTGACGTTTCTGAGTAACCCATCTACTATATGCAAATTGTTAATCTTCACACCAGCTGTCATGATTCACTCCATTCCACAGGTGAAAAAGATGACGCACAGAGAGGTTGAGTAATTTGTCCAAGGTCACACAGCCAAGGAGTAGCAGAGCCCCAGAATCTTTGC